GGATTTTTTTTCCTTTTTTTTTTTTTTTTTTTTTCTTTTTTTTTTTTAGAGCGAGTAGAAAGCAGGGAGGGAGGGAGGGAGGGGGAGAAAGAGAGAAACATCAATGTGAGAGACACATCAATTGGTTGCCTCCCACACATGTCCTCGCTGGGGCTGGGGATTGAACCTACAACCCAGGTTCATGCCCTTGACCAGGAATCGAACCGGAGACCCTTCACTATGAGGGCCAACAGTCTGACCATTGAGCCACACTGGCCAGGGCTCTTTCTCCTTTTATCCGTGTCCTTTCTTTATCCCTGTCTCCATTTCTGATTTTGCTGTGCTCTTCCCTCCTCAGAATCAAGGCATGTTTGGCCGTAGTCAATGTCAGCATTTCTCAGGTGACAGTTGAGGGACTGAGGGACTCAGACTGAGGGACTGAGTTCAGGGAGCAGGGGAGAGCTTGGAAATCTGGTCTCTGGAACAGGAGAGTGAGGCCAGGAAGCTGCGCAGCTGAGGGCAGGAAAACCATCTGGGGAATAAGTCGGGGGTTTTTAAGAATGGCACCCATATAATAATATAAGCAAAAACAAGCCATGTGACCTTGGGAGGCCAAAGTTCACAGAGCCAGTGGCTATGGAAGCAGATGGGGAGGCAGGCAGGGCAGGTGTGGCCGTAGTTGGTGACTGGGTGTTCCTTTTAGCTCTGGGAGGAAATCAGTGTTTTGTGAAGATGTTGGGGCTGGGGCTGCATCTAGGTGAGGAAGGGTGGGGAGTGATCCTTTGGGCAAGGGTGGAAATAAAATGAAGAATTTCTCCTGGTCTGCGTGTCTTATCTTTGAGAGAAATTGGAGGGAGGGCAGTCTTGGGCCACAGACAAGAATGGTAACGAGCAATAACATAAGATAATACTTTTGGTCGGGCCCACACACTTGGCGCGCGGCCAAGGCCTAGCCGGGGCTGACTGAGCCGGTAACGATACAGCTCCGACTCTTAGATTCAGACCCTTAATTGCGCAGGCAGCGGAAGAAAAGATTGCCGAAGGTGCCAGCTCCCCATGGTCCTTGTCACACACACTAAAAAGGGGACACCAAAATGCAAAGGGCCGGGCAGCTGCAACAAGGGTTGTGGGGTATCCTCTGCAGAGGAGCCCCCCGTCTGATTAAAACCTCCCAGGGGTCATTGGGAGGTAAGTGGGAGATGGCCTGGCAGCCCTGGAAGCCCTATATTTGTTGAGGGTTGACTACGTGCCAAGCACTTTTCAAGTACGTTATCTCAGTCCATGCAGAAGGAAGGTAGGGTTAGCTTTTGGATGAAGAATAGTTACAAATGAACAATGCAGTGGTATTCACATTTGCAGTGTTGTGCAGGCATCACCTCTCTCTACCAGAACACTTCCATCACCCCCAAATAACCCCCTGCCCATTAAGCAGTTACTTCCCGTTGCTCTCCCCAAGTTGCCCCTGCGGACACTTGCAGTTCCCAGAGCTGGGCGCTGAGTTTGATTCTTGCTCAGCCTTGATTGGTTAGCCTTTAGGGTCTGTAATGGTTGGTGGCCCCTCAAAATACATGTCCATAATCCTAACGGGGCCTCATTTGGGAAAAGGCAGATATGGGCTCTAAATCCAATGACAAGGGTCCTTATAAGAGACTGAGAAGAGAGACAGAGGAGGAGGGGACCACATGAAGACAGGCAGCCACAAGCCCAGGGATGCCTGCAGCCACCAGAAATGAAGAGGCCAGGAAAGACTCCCCTAGAGCCCTTGGTGTCAGTAGGCCCTGCTGACACCTCTATTTTGGGTTTCTGGCCTCCGGAACTGAGAATTACTTTGTCATTTTAAGAGACTAAGTTTGTGGTAATAAGATGGCAGCCACAGGAAACACATGGTACCAGCTTCCTGTGGTGAGGGTCATTAGATGTCCCATGTGGGTGTCCCCAGTCTTTTTATTACTTTTCATTTCTTGGTGCTGAGCAGAACAAGATAAAAAAAAAAAAAAGGATCTAGGTTTTTGTCCACCCACAGCCCAGCCTTCCTGTGCGTGTTCACCCTGGATACACGTAGCTGGGAGGACAGGGACCCTCAGAGCTTGAACTTAGTTTGAAGCATCCCTGACTGGTGGTGTTTTTTTAATAAACAGACTATCTCCATCCCAGAGTCATTTGTTAATAAGATTTGCAATTTTAAGCCTGAGCTCTGGCATGTCAGTAACTTACACTGTACATTACAGGCCAGTGCCACTCAACTCTGGCAAAAATGGAGGAAGAACTAAATTACACTCAACTTGATAACCATGAGATTCGAAGCATCTAGTGACTTTTCTCCTCGAGAATGAGGCAGAAGCCGACACTGCGCATCCAAGCTGTGTGGCCTTGAACAGGGCTCGTTGCCTGTCTGAGTCCAGGTTTCTTATCTGGAAGTCAGGGACGGCGACACCGGACCTGAGAACCTGCACAAACGCGGAGAGGTCGCCTGGGGTGTGGAGGGACTGGGCCTGGGTGCTAAAGCTTTGTCCATCATATTCTTTGTGAGCTTAGAAATGGCTCGCAAAGAGTATGGCACGCATTACAGAGTCAGAATCCATTTAAAGAGTGTTGACCATCGTTTAAAAATAGGAATAACACCTAATAGAAAACATGCAGGACAGGGTGGTATTTCCTGCAACTATGTTGTCGATGTGAAATGATTTCTTACTGTACATCAGAAAAATTTGGAAACCACTGGTTGAAGGCCCCCAGCTTCGTACACTGATTTCCAGGCAACTGACCCTGGACACCCAACAGCAACTCCCTTTGTCCCAAAGAGCAAACATTTCGGGTTCCCGGCCGCGCTTACAGCGCTTCGCCGCCAGGTGGCGCCCGCGCCCCGCCGTAAGCGGTTCTGCTCCGTCCTGAGCTCAGTCCGGGGCCGAGATTCCCGCTGGTCCCGCGTCGCCGGCAGGATCCTTTTCCCGGGACTAGAAGCCCCGACCACGACTAGAGCCCCCAGCAAAGCGCGGCAGGAGGGCCCGGGCCACAGGGATGCGGCCATCGTGACATCCGTACATCCCCCCGTCATTCCGCGTGTTCTTTAAGTGCCTCTGCGCCAGACGGAGTCCCCGCTGCCAGAGCGCGCGTCCCGGTGGGAGGACAGGCGAGACCCCAACCCACGCCGTCGGTGGGAGGACAGGCGAGACCCCAACCCACGCCCTCGTCANAGACCCCAACCCACGCCGTCGGTGGGAGGACAGGCGAGACCCCAACCCACGCCCTCGTCAGTACAGGGAGCTCCCCTTCCCCGCCCGCCTAGTCTGGGGCGGGACAGACCGCGGTGGAATCCGCCGGGCCCCCAGCCGGCTGTGTGACCTTGGGCAGCCGGCTTAGCCTCTCTGTGCCTGTTCCTCTGCTATGAAACGGAAATAACAGCCCCTACTTCATAGGGTTGTCGCGAGCACTAAATAAGCTAATATCTGTGAAGCACTTCGAAGGGCCTGGTATGAATCCTGCCCTAGAGGCTCCCAAGGGCTTAAATTTAAATTTGGTGGCTTAAAACAACACAAGTGTATTCTCTTACCTTCCCAGGAGTCCAGAAGTCCAGTCTATGGGGATAAAATCAAGGTGTTGGCGGGGTTGGTTCCTCCTGGAGGTTCCCAGGGCATTCTGTTCCTCGCTTTTTTCAGTTTCTGGTGGCTGTGTCACTACAATCTCTTCTATGGGAACACATCCTTCCCCTTCTGTGATTAGATCTCCCTCTGCCTCCTTCTTATAAACTTGTTATATTTAGGGTCCACCTGGATCGCCTCCATCCCAAGGCCTTTAACGTAATCACACCTGCAAAGCCCTCCAGCCACAAAAGGTAGCACAGCCACAAGGCCCGGGGCGTGGACACAGGCATCTCTGCAGGGTCCCCACGTCTACCACACACACTGTCTTAACCCTCCATCGGGAAACTGGCTGTGGGAGGAGCACTCTCAGCCCCACCCCTCTCCACTCCCTCTCTCTTTCCCTGGGCGATGTTGGGTCACTGTAGCCCTAGGGGTCCCGGTCCTGCACTCGGTGGGAGCCCCTCCCAGCCCCTAGCCCCAGGAGCACAGCCAAGGCCCTGGGAGGAGCCTGGGGAAGCCACCTGCTGGCTCAGCACCTGCGGTGCGGCTCTCCTACCTGAGCTCCACAGGTGATCCACCTTCAAGCCCCAGCTCCACCTGGGGCAGCTCCGGGATGCCAGGGTTTGAGGGCTGTGAGGGGCTCAGCATTCAGCTCTCCTGGGCCCAGGTCAGCCTGATGGGGACACAGATCAGGTGCAGAGATCGCCCTTCTAAGTCTGGAAGAAATTTAGTCTCACTGTGTAGAATGAGCCAGAGGGTGGGCAGCCACTCCGGGTCTTGCACGGTGAGTGAACGGGCTCTGCAGGACCACGTAATGTTTTCATTACTATAAGCACAATTCTCCTGCGTAGACACTGTCATGGCTCCAGAGTAATGGCCCAAGTCCTCATTGTGGTGCTCAAGATACGACGGTTCCTCTCGATATTTGCCCATGAGGCTGACTTCATATGCCTACCGCATGTGCCCACACCACATGGACACACAGGTACGAAATACCCCTCAGGGACACAGACATGCACACCCGCAGGCAGATGCACAGGTACAAAGACTCACATACACACTTACCTGGTTTTCAGGCCAAGGAGACCCAGAGGCAATGGTGTCTCCTGCAGAGGAAAAAAAATAGAGATTCTCTCTTCCTGACTTTGGGTGACCCCATGTGTCAATGCCATGTGCTCATGGGCCCCTGGAATCCTGCCAGTGGCTGACCTCCCCACCCCCATCCTTTCTGGCCCTCTGTTGGAAAAGCTTACTTGCTTTGAAAGAAAGGCAGTTTTAGGCGCCTGTTTTATAATTCTGCAGAAATTGAAAATCTGGCTCAAAGCTGAGTGTCTGGGTCAAAAACAGGTCCTGGGGTGCCCTCTCCACAGAACCTACCCCCCTAGGCCAGGGGATGAGTTGACCTTGGGTTGACAGGCCACAGATTGGGGATGTGTTCTGCTGATACTGGGTGCTGTCCCTGTGGGACCATTTAGTTAAAAGTAATTTCACCTTATGTTTGAGAGACATGTAGTTGAAAAATGAGGAACTGGTTACAGATGAGAAGGAAATAATGTTTTTTCTGCGCAGTTCAGATTGCATCTCATCCCATTTCCTTTTATGTCTTTGTGATCAACTCAGCAGTCTGCCTGGTCAGCAACTTCCCAACTTAGACAAGCTCTGGGCCCATCAGGCGGCACAGCGATGATGTGAGCCCTGGGCTCTGCAGAATCCACAGGCCTAGGCAGGTGGGCGCTGACCCCCCACTTAGGGAAACAGTAGCTTCCTGCACCTCAGCCTGAGGAGGGAAACAGGCTGTTCTGGAAGCCCCTAAGACCTCTCTGTGGTTTAATGATTCACTAGAAGAACTCAGTGAACTAAGAGAAACTATTATACTCATGGTTCATCACAGCGAAAGGATACAGATTAAAATCTGCAAAGGGAAAAAGGTGCGTGGGGAACAGCCCAGGACAGACCAGATGTGAGCCTCCAGTTGCTCCCTAGTGGAGTCACGTGGGCAGTGCTGAAATTCTCCCTGTGCTATGGATGAATTGTCCCCCCTTCCCCCAAATTCATATGTTGAAGCCCTAACCCCCAATGTGACTACGTTTGGAGATAGGGCCATTAGAGGTAATTAAGGTTACATGAGGTCATAGGGTGGGGCCCTGATATACAAGATTAGTGTCCTTATAAGAAGAGACACATAAGAAGAGACACCAGCCCAGGCCAAGTAGTCAGTTGGTTAGAGCGTCCTTCCAATACATCGAGTTGGGGGTTTGATCCCTGGTCAGAGCACATATAAGAAGCAACCAATGATGCATAAATAAGGGGAACAACAAATCCATGTTTCTCTCTTTCTCAAATCAATAATTTAAAAAAAATAGGCTGAAGTATTTATTTTTTATTTTATTTTATTTTAATTTTTTTATTAAATATATCTATTGATTTCAGAGGGAGGAAAGGAGACGGAGAGAGAGAGAGACAGAAACATCAATGATGAGAGAGTCATTGATCGAGCCCATAACCCGGGGCATGTGCCCTGACCGGGAATCGAACCCTGATCGCCTGGATCCCAGGTCGACACTCAACCGCTGAGCCACGCCCGGCCGGGCTGAAGTATTTAAAAATAAATAAAAATTTTAAAAAGGAGAGACATAGAGTTCTCTCTGAGTAGCAAGAAGGTGGGCCATGTGCAAGCCAGGAAGCGGGCTCCCACCAGGTGGCACCCTGATCTTGGACTTCCCAGCCTCCAGAACTGTGAGGAAGGAAATTTCTATTGTTCAAGCCCCCCATCTGTGGTATTTTACGCAGCCCAAAGCTGTACCAGTATTATCAATGAGGAAGCTTACCTGGGCCTTGGTGTCCAGGGCTTTTACTGGGGGCCTGTTATGAATTGAACTGTATCCCCCCAAAAGATATTGAAGTCCAAACCCCCAGTAATTGTGGATGTGACTTTATTTGGAAATAGGGTATTTGCTTTTTTCTTTCTTCCATGGAGCTTCTCTTTTGACCTCTTATGGGTTGTTTTCTTTTGAGCATTAAAAACTGTGGTAAGCCCCGGCCAAGTGGCTCAGTTGGTTGGAGCGTTGCCCCGTGCCCCAGAAGGTTGTGGGTTCCATCCCCTGATCTGCGTACGTAGGGGAGGCAACCAATTGATGTTTCTCTCTCACACCAATGTTTCTCTCTCTCTCTCTCACTAAAATCAATAAATATATCCTTGGTGAGGATTTTAAAAAAGATAAAATTATTAAGAATTTCAGGACAGCAATCTCAGAGTATCAAACTCTGGACGCAAGGCCCCGAGGAGCAGGGGGCTCTGTGCAACCGGCTCCGCTTCTCACTATGGAGCTGGGAGGCCTGTGTGGACTACAGACCCAGCCCTGAGACAGGTGGGAGGCTGAGTGTCCTTGTGGAGCCTGGGGGGCCACTGGCTTTGGGGTCACGCTAGGGTGAGGCCCCTGAGGGCAGAGGTTGGGAGGTCATGTTCTCCTCATTGCCCCCAGCTCCTGCGTTGAGTTCATTCCGAGTGAACGGATGAGTGAATGAGTGCGTGCCTGCTTCCAGAACCTCACCTGGAGCCCTTACTCACCTGTTGCCCCCAAGAGCCCCCTCCAGGGACCGCCCTTCCCTGACCAGGGTGGCTCCGCATTCTCTCTGTCCTGTTACTTCCATCTGTGAAAGGAGAAGTCAGAAGAGGGAATCTTCTGCAGTCCCGAGGTTCCCCTTCTGCGGATGGCCACTGCCTGTCGGAGCTCCCTGCCGGGACAGACGGGCCAGTCCAGGCGCCAGACGGCCCAAGAATAGGACCAGCCCAGGCCCCGGAGATGCTGCTGCTGCTTCTGCCCCTGCTGTGGGCAGGTGAGTGGATCAAGGGCCGGGGTCCTGGGCTGGGGGTGGAGCTGACGCTGCGGCTGAGCCTCTGTGTCCCCCCAGGGTCCCTGCAGCAGGGTCCAGGCTACAAGCTGCAAGCGCCTGCACTGGTGAGGGTGCAGGAGGGTCTGTGCATCCACGTGCCCTGCACGGTGTCCTACCCCTCTGTTGGCTGGAATGACTCTACCCCAGTTCGTGGATACTGGTTTCAGAAGAGGGATAAAACCAAAAAAGATGTTCTTGTTGCCACAAACAACCAAGCTAAGAAAGTAAGGAAGGACAAGGCCCTCTTCTACCTCTCTGGGGATCTCGGGGCCGGCAACTGCTCCCTGAGCATCGCAGACGCCCACCCGGGAGACAGGGGGAAGTACTATTTCCACCTGGAGAGAGGGAACGTGAACCACACTTACCGAAATAACCTGCTCACTGTGGCCGTGGAAGGTATGGGACGGTCCCCAGGGATAGACCACAGGGATGGGCGGCGGCCAGAAGGCACACACGGGGGCCCCTTCTGAGGTCTGGCCTCTCCCTGTCTCCTCTCCAGAGCTGACACAGAGCCCTGACATCCACGTCGAGGAGCCCCTGGAGTCCGGCTGCCCCAGCCGCCTCATGTGCTCCATGCCGGGCGCCTGTGCCGGGGCCCGGGCCCACACCGTCTCCTGGGCCGGGGCTGCCCTGCGCCCCCCGGGGCTGGGCCTGCCGGCCTATAACTCCTCGGAGATCCGGCTCACCCCCCGCCCGCAGGACCACGGCACCAACCTCACCTGTCGGGTCACCGTCCACAGGGCTATAAGCAGGGAGAAGACCATCAGGCTCAACGTGTCCTGTGAGTCCTGGCCAGGGTGCAGGGTGGGGGACAGGCTGCAGGGACACAGGCCGCATCGGTTTCCACTTCCCATTTCTGTGTGTCCCGGGGGTGGGGGCAGGAAAGGGCCAGCTGCTGCTCTTCCTCACTGGGCCTCTCCGTCCAGATGCTCCACAGAGCCTGACCGTCAGCGCCTGGCGAGGAGACCACACAGGTAAGCGGCCGCCCTCCTCTCTCTAGAAGGCAATAAAAACATATCCTCTGCTGAGGATTAAAAACAGAGAGGAAGCCCGGCCAGCGTGGCTCAGCGGTGGAGCGTCCACCCAGGATCCAGGAGATCGCGGTTCTACTCCCGTCAGGGCCCAGGCCCGGGGTGCGGGCTCCATCCCTGGTGGGGGGCGTGCAGGAGGCGGCCCATCAGTGATTCTCTCTTATCATTGGTGTTTCTATCTCTCTCTCTCCCTCTCCCTTCCACTCTCTGAAATCAATAAAAACATATTTTTAAAAAACGGAGAGGGAAAGAAATAGGAAGATGACTTTGGAGCCACAGGCCCAGGCTCAGCTGTCCCTCACCCCTCCCCAGGACTGGAACCCGTGGGGAACGGCTCATCTCTTCTGGTGAGGGAAGGGGACCCTCTCCGCCTGCTCTGTGTCGCCGACAGCAACCCTCCGGCCACACTGAGCTGGGCCCAGGACGGCCAGACCCTGAGCCCCTCACAGCCCTGGAAGCCGGGGGTCCTAGAGCTGTTCCGGGTGGAGCCCAGACACGAGGGTGAATTCACCTGCAGAGCTCAGCACCGGAGGGGCTCCCTGCTCAGCTCCCTGCGTCTCTGGGTGCAGAGTGAGCAGGGGGGGAGGGGAGGAGGGAGGGAGGGAAAGGGGAAGAGGGAAGGGGAGGGTGTGGCACCCGGAGAGAGGACACCGGGGTCCTGGGGAGTTTAGAGGCGCCGCTGACCCTTCTCCTCTCTCCCCACAGACCCCCCACGGCTGCNCACAGCTGCTGGGACCCTCCTGCTCCTGGGAGGACCAGGGTCTGACCTGCAGCTGCTCTTCCCGAGCCCAGCCGGCCCCCTCCCTGCGCTGGAAGCTGGGGGAGGAGCTGCTGGAGGGGAACCGCAGCGAGGCCTCCTACACGGTCACCTCCCGCTCTGCAGGGCCCTGGACCAACAGCTCCCTGAGCCTCAGCAGGGGGCTCAGCGCCGACCTCAGACTCAGCTGCGAGGCCAGGAATGACCACGGGGCCCAGAGCGCCGCTGTCCTGCTGCTGCCAGGTCAGGGGGCCTCTCGGGGCAGAGGCTCAGGGAGAGAGGAATGGGTCAGAGAGCAGGTGGAGCTGGGGGACAGGGCTGGGCAGGAAGGGATGAGAGGGAGGAAGGGGTGCTGGGTAAGGACACGAGAGCTCAGGCTCTGTGAGGGGAAGGGGTACAGGGTCCTGCGGCTTGGAGGGGAGTCACCCCAAAGCCCACTCATCTGCAGGGAAGCCCTTTCTTAGGGAAACATTTGTTCTGGGGGCCGTCGGGGGAGCTGGTGTCGCTGGCCTGCTCATTCTCTGTCTCTGCTGCATCTCCTTCAGGTAAGGGTCGTCTGGGGGGGCGGGGGGCAGCCAAGTGCAGGGGTAGGAAGGGGCCTGGGCCTGGGATCCCAGACAGCACCACCTGGAGGGACCTGGCCGGTGCTGAGGTTGTGAGAACTGGGCCTTGGGCCTGAGAATCAGAGCAGAGCCTGTTCCCATGCCGATCGCAGCCAACGTGAAGGGAGTCTGTTCTCATACCCATCAGCCCGGGTGTGTCCCCTATGTCCTGGCCTCGGTCAGCCCTCTAGCCTCTTCAGCGGGGGACAGTAGTCACACTCCAAGGTCTGCGCCAGGCAGGCTGCTGAGAGGTCGCAGTCTCCCCTCCAGAGTGAAGTCCTGCAGGAAGGACGCACCTGAGGCTGTGGCTGGTGACAAGGATGCCCCCTGCACGCCGGGGCCCATCTCCCAGGTGAGTCACGTGCCCCAAGACACTCTCACGTTTGATAAATCACTAGAAGGCTCACAGACTAGGAAAAGTTGTCATACTCGCGGTTATAGTTGGTTACAGCAATAGGACAGGGATAGTCAGCCAGGGAGGAGGTGCGTGGGGCAGGGTCTGGGAGAGTCAGGCATGACCTTCCATTGTCCCAGTGGAGACACAAGGCCAGCACCTGCTTCTCCCAGCAATGACGTGCGACCACACACCCGGGGTACCCAGGGAAGCTCGCCTGAGCCTTGGTGTCTAATTCTAACTGGGGGTCCGTCACGTAGGCATGGCTGACAGCCCGTGTAGCTGAACTCAGTCTCCATCCCCCGCAGAGGTCAAGCTGATACTACGTGGCCCAAGGCCCGCATCAATCACCTGAACTACCTGGTGTGGCCCAAGGTCCCAGGTGAACAAAGACACCTGCTTGTCAGGCAGGACATTCCACCTGGGTTCTCCCCCAGGTGCTGGGGGCAAAGGGTCAAACTTTCCTTTGGGCAAGGTTAACCCTTTACTGTACAATATCCTTCGTAGGGTTCATGACATAATGTCCCGAATGCATTTGCTTGAACCCCTGAAATGCTGAGTGGTCCCTGAGGGCAGGGTAGTCCAGACCTGAGCGAATTCCTGTCCTCATACCGCTTGCCCGATTCCTGTGCATCCTGTTACAATTTGCAGTTAGAGAGTAATATAATTGACTACGACCTTAGTGTCCGCTTCCCCCACTGCAAGCTGGTGGGAGGTCAGGGGTGGTGTCTGCTTTGTTCCCCAACAGATATCCAGGGCCTGGCACAGGGCAGCTGACCCATAAGGCAGTAGGCACTGAAGCCAGAGACTCGGGCATGAATCTTTGCTCTACCAACAACTAAATGTGATTTTGGGATATTTACTTTGCCTCTTTCTCCACCTAATAAGTGAAATTAGGGATAGTGTCCCCCTAGTGGATTCCTGTGAGGAATCTGGCACTTGACAACCAAGGGCCAGGCATTATTACTCTCAAATACTTGTTGAATTACCGAATAGGGGCTCCACCAACGTCTGCAGAGTGGATAGATGGAAGACTAATTTGCTGTTTCCAGGTTCACTTGTGGGCCCTCCTTGCTGTCTGCCAGCCATTATCCTAATTTGACCTCCCCCCTCCCCAAGGGCCACCAGTATGAATGTCTGCCAGGCAGCCTAGACCATCCACCTGGAGCTGCGGCCGCCCCCACCTCAGGGGAGGAGCTGGAACTCCATTACGCCTCCCTCAGCTTCCAGGGGCTGAGGCCCGGGGAACCTCCAGACCAGGAGGCCACCAGCACCGAGTATGCAGAGATCAAGATCCGCGAATGAAGGCCCCCAGCTTCGGCGACCTCTGGCTGGAAGACCCAGGGCTTCTCTGGAAAGGGAGACATCAGGGACAACTAAGAGGGAGCTAACAACATGGGTGTGCCACTGGTGCCGTGATGGGCGGAACTGGGCTCAGATTTCAGCCCCATCACCAACTAGGAGCATGAGTTTGAGCAAGAGACTTTACTTCTGTCTCCCCTCTGTAACGCGGACACAGTACACCTAGCTCGCAGGGTTGGTGGGGGGGTAGAGGGAGTAATTAAGGTAAAGCGTCCGACAGGCCCGGGCGGACAGGGGGCTGCGCAGAGCACTGTGGGAGGTCGTCTTCACAGGGACGCCCACCTGGAACAAAGGTCGGGCTGTCCTTGCCCAGATGGGGACCACTCTGCAGGCCTGTCCCAGCTCCAGGGTGCCCTGAAGGCCTGGATGAGGCTGTCCCTGGGCTGCATGCGTCGCAGCTCAATTCTCGCTCTACCTCCCCTGCCTCCTTCCCCTCCCCTCCATAGGGACCATCCTGGGGCACCGCCTCTGCACACAGGTCTCTCCCAGAGCTGCTTCCTGGAAGCCTGATTTGTATATTTCACACCAAAAATATTCACTGATTATCTGAACTGAATGATAGGTTATCTAATTACATACTTCTTTAATTACATGTCCCTGATGCTCTGGTTCTCCTTAATGGTTTCTTTTTGCAGAATTTGCTTATAAAGTTCCTTGCCTTTACAGTCTGTTCCAATTTCTTTGTAATTAGTTTTTTTTAAAAAAATCTTTATTGATTTCAGAGAGAGGAAGGGAGAGGTAGAGAGAGAGAAACACCGATGAGTCATTGATCAGCCGCCTCCTGCACGCCCCTGCTGGGGATGGAGCCCAAAACCTGGGCATGTGCCCTGAGCAGGAATTGAACCGAGATCTCCTGGACCCTAGGTCGATGCTCAGCCGCTGAGCCACGCAGGCTGGGCTGTAATTAGTTTTTACACTTGTCACATCCAACTTACTTTGTTCTGTTTTCCACTGATTGTCCACTTAGTTTTCCCCATGGTTTCCATTAATGAGAAAACATGCTCAACATGAACACGAGGAGCCAACAGTCACCAGCTGTTGGCAGTTAACAACTTTGTGTGGATAACTGCTCTTCAAATTCGATGTGTTGTGATTCTATCTTTCACAGCAGTTTGCTTTGCCATGCTTCAGGACTTGGTTACATCTCTTATTAAAATATGTTTTTATTGATTTGAGAGAGGAAGGGGGCGGGGGGGAGAGACATCCATCGGCTGCCTCCCACATACACTAGGATCAGAATGGGGACTGAGCCCACAACCTAGGCATGTGCCCTGACAGGGAATTGAACCAGGGACCTTTCAGTGCAACAGATGATGCCAACCAACTGAGCCACGCAGGCCAAGGCACAATATTTTCAACTTATAATGGGTTTATTGGGATATAACTCCATTGTAAGTCGAGGAGCATCTGTACATAGATGGATGGGTGCATGGGTGGCTCCATGAAGTCTGGACAGATGACTGGAAGGGTAGATGGAAGGATGAAAGGCTGAAGGGGCAACTGGGTAGGGAGAAAAAGGGAGCTTAGCTTTTCCAAAAGGAATTTCTTTTGCAGACACTTGACTCTCCGAGCTCCAATGAAACAATTTATTACAAAGCACAGTGGTTCCAATTGCTAGGAAGGGTCCCCCTGAGGGGAGCAGCTCAACCCTGTCCATGAGGGGGGTCTTCTCTGTTCATAACCCAGTGGCTGCTGGGAGACGATGGCTGTGAGGAAGGGACGACCTCGAAAGGAGGTCGTTCACATTACCTGGAGCTTAACTGCTGGGCTCCCTGATGCTAATCTGGACAGATAGTAGCATCGCCTAAAGAAGTCACAGGAATGCACGTTTGAGGGGTCTTTCTAGAAGCTTATCACATTTCTTCCCTTTTTTTTCCTACTTCGAACTGGGAGTTGAAAGTTCTGGAAGACAATGAAAATGGCTGTGAGTCATGCATTCAGGGAGTTCCCTTTAAGGCCCTGCTGGGTGAGAGGCTCTTTCTAGGGACTGAGGAGACCACCATGAACAAGAAACCCTTGCTGGGCTTAAAACTTGGGAGGAGGGTAGAGACACTACAAATTAAACACATGCTTCCTTCCAGAGGGGCAGAGGCTGTGCAGAAAACAGGAGATGTGATCAGAGAGGAGGTAGGGAAGCACTTCAAGGGGGCCTCAGGGTCTGACAGCTAGTAATGTAAAGGAGCCTGTGCACAAACAGAAGGGGAAAAGAATTCCAGACTATGGCAATGGCAAGTGCAAAGGCCCTGAGGTGGGACCAGGCTTGGCCTAGTCTAGAATCTGAGGGGAGGCATGGAGTGGGCTGGATGAGGAAATGTTGGGCACCCAGGCCAAGACAAGGAGCTGCCCCAAGCAGAGGTGAAATGACCTTTAAGTTACTCCAAGGTTGCCCGGCCAGCATAGCTCAGTGGTTGAGTGTCAACCCATGAACCAGGAGGTCACGGTTCAATTCCCAGTCAGGGCACATGCCTGGGTTGCAGGTTCAAACCCTGGAGGGGGGAATGCAGGAGGCAGCCGATCGATCCCTCTCTCATCATTGATGCAGCAACCCAGCCTACACCCACCAGATGCCAGTAGCACCCTTTCCCCAGTGGTGACAACCAAGATGTCTGCAGATGTGACAAATGCCCCATTTTGTTCTTGCCTCCATTCTCAAACCCGAGGTAGACACACACTGAGCTCTGATTGCAGCCAGACCCGAGGAGAGAAATGAAAGCTCCAGGGACAGAGGAGGACCCTGGGGAGGCTCCTCTTCAGAACATCCACATGGCCTTTGCCAAAACTGACTGTCCAGCAAATTTAGTTTAGCTTTGACCTCTCCCAAAATCCCATATACTCTCACATGGTACAAATGGGGACGTAAACAGGTACAGCTCCGATGGGCCAGCCAATTGTCCCAGACACAGGTGCACGCCAGAGTGCACAGCAACGTTGGTTGTAAGACAAAAACCCAGAGGCCGAGCAGAGGCCAGCCCCTGGTTATGGAGAGTGTCCTGAGTCCACGCAATGGAACAAGGCACTGCCATAAACAAGGACAGTCTGTGCTTACAGGAAGGGCTGAGACAAACCACAAAGTGCAGACAGCATGGCATGACACAGAGCCAGAGCGGTTTTGTGTGTGGGAGATGAGGGAGCCAGCCCAAAGGAAGCAATGACTACAGGGGGTTGGGGAGGGACAGAGGGAGGAAAGAGGGGACAGAGAAAGAAACAGACAGATACTATCTAGATGCTATTTCTAGGCTCTGAATCCAGTGATGCATAAAGCTCCCCCCTTGGAATTTTCTAGCTACAAAAGCCCATCAGTCCTCCTCTTTCTAAAAGCCAATCTGAGCCAGATTTCTGCTACTTGTGATTCCTTGGAAAGTTCAAGGACCCTGTAGAGAAATCCAATATCTAACTGGGAAGTTGGCCCTTGGAATGAACACATCAAATGCCACCTGGGAAGCAGGGCTGGGGGTGGCAGGGGTGGGGTTGGGGGTTTTTAAGACTCATAGCCTCTTCCCGCTGGAACCCACCTATGGCGCCATCTGGAGGTCTATGGGGTCATAGGCAGACACCTGCAGGTCCCGCAACAGGACTTCCAGACTCTTCCTCAGCATGGCGTAGGGCGGCTTGTCGTCGTACTGGAGGGCCATCACCACCTTCAGGTACTCCTGCAGAGTCTCTGCGGTCAAGATAAACCCACCATGGGAGGGGCCTGAGAGGGGCCCGGACCCAGAGCCTTGGGGGCTGTGCCCAGCGGGTCTCACCCACAGTGCCCACTGGCTCAGCACTGCCTCTGTGCCTGGCAATGACACAGGCATTTAGATTCCAGCCCCCCATTCAAATTTTTGGAAAACATCAAATGTATGCATCAGATGAACAGTATTGTGAATACCTGAGAACCCATCACCCAGTCTCAACAACTGTCAACTCACAGCCAATCTTGTTTCATCTGAACCCTACCACTTCCCCTCCTATATGGTTTTAAAGCAGATTGCAGCTAATTGTGTCATTTTACCTGCAAATAATTCATGTATCTCTAACATGAGGAACAGCAAATGTTTAAAGTCCAGAGAGTAAGTATTTTTGGCTTTGACACCAGTTGATCCATGTCCGAAAGGACTCAATTCAGCTATTCTCACACAAACTACAGGTGAACGAATGGGTGCAGCTGTGCCCAGACAACTTTACTTATGGATGCCGCAGCCTGAATTTCAGGTAAGTTTCACAGTCATCTTTGATTTTTCTGCGACCACTTCAAAATGTAAAACAATTCTTAGTTCACTGGCCTTAGACACAGGCCCCAGGGACGTGATTTAAACAATAAAGGCTTTTAAAAAAATTTCTCTCCCCTAAATAAGCACAATACGATTATCGCTCGGTGCCAACTTGCCCTGGCACCGAGAGGTCACCGGTTGGATTCCAGTCAGAGCACATGCCCTGGTTACAGGCTTGATCCCCAGTGGGGGGCGTGCAGGAGGCAGCCAATCAGTGTTATGCTCTCATCTCTCTCACTGATGTTTCTTTCTCTCCCTCCCTTCCTCTAAAAAAATCAATAAAAACATATTTTAAAAAATACTGACAAAACTCTACAAGCCACTGCCACAAAAAGTCTCCAGGGTAGACTCTTCTTACATGAGAAAAAGCAAGTTGGAGACCAGTACACAGAATATGATTCCGTTAAAAAAAATCATCACGTGTACGTGTGCACTGTTATTGTTCACACACTTCTGAACTTTTTGGGAAGGTTTTTGTTTTTCTACAATGAGCACATATACACATGAAACTTAAAAGACTCAAAGAAAGACAGCAGAGGGGTGTTAAAGGGAGGTGACCCTATGTGAACCAAGCCTGCTGGTCACTACAGCCCCCGCCTGTCCCTCCCCTTTGGGACATACCTGAGGGCCTCATCCAGTGACTGCACTGTCCCACAAGAGCCTCCGGGTTGTCAAGGAACCTGACGGGACAGAGGTAAGTGCAAAGGTCTTTTTGGGAAGGGAGAGCAACCTTTTAGACAAAACATCTCATAGCCACATAACAGATGCTTGTTATTAGCAATAGTTAGGCCCTATCCAGTTGCTTCCAACACTGAGTGAGCAAATTATGAATCTTTTAGGGGAAACACAGCATTAGGTTCCCGTGAGCCTCTGGTCACAACATTCTCATCAACTGATTGATACATAATAGCCTTTATACAGCAAAATCGCCAACAAAAAGCACCAAAAGGTGGAAAATGTGGCATTAAATAGGCAACATACAGGACACTGGTTTATAGTGTGAGAGCTGAGCCCAGAAGGCAGAGCATTGCTGTGTTCGACCTCAGCTAGGATCACGGGCAACAGGCGACTCAAACTTTTTTCCACCCTGCATGTCCCTAAGAACAACCATGACAGCACTATGAGTGTTGATTCTGGCCTTACAAATACATTTTAGTGAATTAGGCAAATTCACAAAATATGACATCTGTGAGGCAAGGAGGTCTCAGTTGGTGCTGATATGCCCTTAACATCTCTGCAGAAGGAAGGAGAGACAGAGACAGACAGAGGCCTTCAGCTCCCAGGCTTCTAAGGCCAATCTCTGAGTCAGGAGTCAGCCTTAGAACCTGCCAGAACTTGAGCCATTGCCTTGTTTTCTTGGAATGTATCGTTGCACTTATATTCTAGTTTTCCATTTTTGAAATGAAGCCAGGTGAAAACCACGAGCCACAGAGTGAGGAAGGCAGGCAGAGGGGGGAAGGGAAGGGCTCCCTGGGGAGTGACGATGAAGCTGAAACCTGAAGGAAGATGAAATTCAGGGCACGGTACCATGTTTGCCACACACCCACCACCGTGACACATGTCTCATGGACACATACATTTAAACAGACAAATGTGTAGGAGATGTATTCAGAGGTACTGAACTAACAACACAGCTGAATGTTAAATACAGCATTGAATGAAAGAAACAAACAAGGAAATTCAGAGCAGCATACTGTTTATGCAAACGACCTTGTCCAAGGACACAGATGTATCTACACAAATGTATTTAAAAGCAGTAGTCAGAAGTAGTAAACTCGATGCACATGTAATGATGATGTTAAAGCTGAAGAACACAGTGTTGAGTGAAAAAAGCCAGAAACAGATGAGATTTAGAGAATACCATTTACGCAGGTCAAACACACACAATACCACCACCACCATCATGCAAGTTGAAGGATACAAATGTAGTTAAGCAAACATGTCTGTAGAACATGTATAAGCAAGTTTGAGTGGGTGTCTGTGGTTGAGAGAAGGGAGATGGGGGACATACAAGGGGCAAAATAGAATGAGAGAGATTATGATGAACCAGGGACACAGAATAGTAGGAAATGAGAAGCACAGTGGACCCGCTGAGGTCTGAATATTCATTTCTGCACTGTGGACATCGATAGCCAACATCTCTTGGATGATCCCTCCTGGATGACTCCTGGGTGACTCTCAGCCCCCAAGTCTATACTAGATTTTGTACCTGCAGCGCTCCCCTGTGTGCAGCTGTCCACTGACTGTCCTTGGTGCTGAGGACCAAAGCCCCTTTGCTTACTTCACTCTGTGCCCAGCTGCTCTCTGTCCGTGGTGCTGAACCCCACACCCCAGCACCTCCCTTTGCAGCCAGTAGGGGCACCGTCCTTGGTGCTGAACATCTAAAAACCAGAACTAGCAGGATCTGGTGGTTTTACATGCAGAGGTGAGGAAGGGGAAGTGTGAACATCTGGGGCTGGTGTTGCTCTATGTGAGGCAGGGCCCAGACCTAACTGCTCCGGTTTCCCACATGCCATGAAGTGATGAATGAGTCATTGTGTCCAGTGCATGGTGAGCATTTTCTACAGGCCAGGCTCTGGGCTGAGTGTTGTGTACCTGACCTCCCTGAATCCTTCCATACCCGTGCGCTGGGTACTGATAGGGCCCCGTCACTGAGGACACTGAGGCTGGCAGTGGTGTGGTTGGAGTCTGACCCCGGCAGCATGGCTCCAGAGCCCACGCTCCTGCCTGCTGGAATAGATGGTAGAGCACACGCCTGAGAACTGCAGAGGCCCTGGTTCTGCCAGACACTGCCTCCCCCTCCTCTCTGTTCCTTGTTGGGTTTTGAGCTTCTGCCCCACGTGCACAGGTGCTGGGCCGGTGCTGGGCCAGTGCTGGGCTTCACTGACCCCCAGACTCACTTCTGTTTCAGCTTCATGATATCCTCAGTGTTGGGAAGGCATTTTGTCCACGGCAGGGCCCCATAGAGCCACTTCAGCAAACAATAGCCCAAGGTCTGGAGGTCGCTGCGGCGGGAGGGCCCTGCGGGGGCAGGGAGGGAAAAAGGCAGCAGCTCAGTCTGGATGCTCTTCTCACTGCCATGTCCACCCCCTGCCTTTCTCCCTCTGTCTGACTCAACCATCACCCACACACTCAGCCACCCAAACACACGGGCTCTCTTCTGTTCATTCACTCTTCATTTGCCTACGCTCCGTCACAAGTCTGTTACTCTCATTCACCCTCTCAGCCACCCCTGCATCCCGCTCTCACTAGCTCACCCCTCAACCACTTGTCTTTCATTCATGTGCTCATGCATTCAATGAGTCCTCAGAGCCCTGTGCGCCAGGCCCCATCCAATTTCTCAAATTCTAGACAAGAGTTTGGTTGGGTCCCTGTCCTTCAGTCTAGTGGGAAGATGGTTATATTGTGAGATTACCTGAGCTACGGAGGACAGAGAACAAGGCATGAGGGAGCCCAGCAGGATGGGCACTGAATACGGCCTCAGCAGGGGAACAAAAAAGACCACTGGGTTTTATTTTTCTTCCGCTGCTTAAATGTCATGATTTAGACAATTCGTGTAAGCAGTCACCAAACATTAAGCATTGGCTGTGCCAGACCTCCTGCCACCCAATGCTAGAGGCACAGGTACCATTCCTTCCCCGGGTGAGCTCAGAGCTCAGCCTGGTGGGAAGATGTGGGCTGGCACATGGATGGCTATCAAAGGATCTGGGAAAGAGGGGCTGAGATCTCCTCAGGGAATCTGCCCTGGGCGCTCTGCTCACTCTGCACACTTGCCTCTCCCAGGGCTTCAGCCAACAACTCCTGAGATCCTGTTGACATCAGAGTCTCTGTTCAGAGCTCCCTCCTGTGCTCCAGACAGATAGCCAATTGCTTCCTCAACAGCCTCTCCTGGATGACTCTGGGGCAACTCTCATGGTCCAAGTCCACACCAGATGCTGAATCTGGACCTCTGGACAGGCAGGGCATTCTTGTGCCCAGCTGCCCTCTGTTCTTGGTGCTGAACCACTACCTACAACTCCTTAATGCTGGGGGACACCATTCTTAATTCTGAATCCCTATCATGGCTCCCTTAGCTGACCCCAGTGTCTGGTCATCTGTTGCCCGTGGCTGTGAAAACCTAGGGCTTCCCTTGCATGAGAAGTGCGTCTCCATGGTCCTGACCCTTTCTATGGCCTCTTACCGCATCCCCTATGCAGGTCCATGCTAATGAACTCCAGGTCCCCCTCATGTGGGCTCCTGCTGCCTTCCTTGTAGGCCACGTGTTTGCCACCTGGGGCATAGCGGAAGGCAAAGCCATAGCCTGCCAGGGTCACCTGTGTGGGCATGGAGAGGTCATATAGCTTAGAGGTTAGGAGCTCCGACTCTGGAATCAGATTTTTCAATCATGAGTGTAGTCTGAAATAACCAAATGCCCAACAGTACAAAAGAGTGTGAACTGAAAAGAACCTGAACCAACCATCCCTGTTGCAACCCAGACTCTTAAACCCACTGCCCAGAAGTAACCACTAATAATAGTTTCTTATTGTTTCAAACTGTTTTCTTTAAATAACTGGTAAACATGTGAGCAGGGCTGGGGCTCTAGTTTTTCAGAGAGATCACGCTATACCTCGTGCTTGGCATACAGCTTTCTGCTCTTTCATAGTGGTTCAGGGTATTAACTCTGGAGCCAGACAGATCCGATTCAAATGCCAGCTTGATTCTTAGTGGCTGTACAACCTTGGGCAAGTTATGCAACTTTTTTGTGCTTTGATTTCTCCATTTGTAAAATGAAGACAATGATAGTCCCCACCTTGCAGGGTTGTTATGAGGCTTCACTGAGTTGAAAACAAAAAGGACATGCTTATCAGCCAGACACACAGTTGGCCCCATCTGCGTTTTAATGGCTCATTGTATTCTGCCATTTGGACAGTGGACAACTGTTGGTTTTGTCCACAACAGATCTACATCCCTTTCTTCTGGTCACAGTTTGTGATATTTAAGTGTCTGAGCACCCTCACTGGGCCATAAGGTGCTCAGACATTTGGCCAAACGTTATTATGGGTGTGTCTGTGAGGGTGTTTCTGGATAAATTAAGATTAACGTTTAAATCATAGTCTTAAGTAAAGCAGATTGCTCTACCTAATGTGGGTGGGCCTCATCTAATCAGTTGAAGGGCTTGAATAGAACAAAAAGGCTGAGTGAGAGGGAACACCTCCTGCCTAACTGCTAGAGCTGGAACACTGTTCTTTTATGGCCTTGGACTTGAACTGAAACACTGATTCTTCTTGGGTCTTAAGCCTGCCAGCTTTTCAGACTAAAACACAGTCAACTCTCCTAGTTTTCAGGCCTTTGGACTGTGACTAGAACTACACCATCAGCTCTTTCTGGTCTTCACCTTGCCAACTGCAGATCTTGAGATTCTCAGTTTTCATAATTGTGTGAGTCAATTCCTTACAATAAATCTCTTTCTGTGCAATTCTGTACATCAGCAATTTCAACCCTTTTCATCTCATGGCACACATAAACTAATTACTAAAATTCTTCAACATGCCAAAAAATATACTTTTTCCTGATCTGACCAAAAAAAATGTATAATTCTCATTCATTCATACAGGATGGCTGCTGTTGTCATTTTTTATTTGACAATCTAAGGGAAAAGAGGTCAGTGCCCCTGACTAAGTAGGTACTATGTTGAAAATCACTGCTATACACATTGTGTGAGCCAGTTCCTTATAATAAATCTCTTTCTGTACATTCTGTTGGTTCTGTTTCTCTGCAGAGCGCTGACTAGTACAGTCCTAGGGATTTTCCTCTGGGATCACCTCTCCCCCACTCTTAAGTTCATGTAACTGAAGTGAGGCTCACGTGATCTATTTCCACTGGGTTGCTATGCTGAGAGGATTTAAGCCTGATTTGCTGGTGGTGATTTTGTCACCAGGAGGGAAGGGAGTCTGCCTGACAATGATGAATGCACAAACAAAAAAAGCCTGGAGATGGAAAAGCCAGTTTCCCAATGACAGGGCTTGAGTTCCTAGATACAGCCATGTTTGAAACCAGTGAAGTCCTCAGCTTCACTCCCTGACCAATATATTGCAACCTTCCCTTCTTTAAGCATTTTTGTTGTTTGTTTAAGCCATTAAAATTAAGTTTCGGTTATTTGAAAAAATAATTAGAATTTGTTTTAAAACACTATTTAATCAGTACCCTACTGGGAGTATATATTTTTCTATTACAATCAATGTTGTTAGAAACACTGCATATTTGTACATATATCTTTGAGTAGTCCTATGGATATATGGATAAGAGATATTGCTGAAAGAGGAACTGGTGGGTCAAAAAACATATGCATTTAAAATCTTGACTGCTATATTCAAATTACCTCCCCACACCCTTCCAACAGAAAATAAAAAATTTTCATTCCTTTATATCCTTTTGTCACCAGAGATAGTATCATTCATTTTAATTTCGTCCACCCTAAGGGTAAAAAACAGTATGTTCTAATATCCATTTCTATGATTATAGGGAAGGTGAACATTTTTTTATATATTTAACTAAACTGGATTTCTTTTTCTATGAACTGTCCTATCCATTATGCATTTTTTTACTAAGTTGCTCTTCTCTTCTTTATTCAAATTAGCTATTTATATATGATGGATAGCACCTCTTTGTCTGTAATAAGCATTGTAAAGTAAATGGAAGTTTTGAGACAGATGAGATCCTGAGTCCAGAGAGCCCCCAAGGTGGAGAAGGCCTCACTATTACCTGGCTCAGGTCCCGTGGATTCACAAAGATATTCTCAGCTGTCACATTTCCATGAACATACTCATTCTCATGGAGGTACTCCAGGGCATCCAGCTGGGGGCAGAAGAAAAGGATCTCCATGAGTAGCATGATTAGCACAAAGTGGCTCTGATGCAAAGCCTGGTGAATGAATCCCCACAATTAGACCTGCAGCCATATTGCCTGCTTGTGAATGGGATGGTGGGGAGGTTTAAGCCTGACTAATTCTGGGGTAAGCATTAGGAACTCCACTCTGAGAGCATACCTTATTAGGTCTTCTTATTAGGCTTTCAAAAATTAAGCATTAAAGCTAACATTTTGTTTTCTATCTATCTCTTGCATCTGTTTTTTAGTTGACTGTAAACTCAGGAGGGGCAGAGGTTGGTTACTTATTGCCTCCTGCAAAACAAGCCAACAAACAAAAAAACCCAACCCAATGTCCATGTATATCAAAGAGTTCTCATTTCTCCTAGAGACTAGAAATAAACTTAGTTAAGCAATTTATATTTTTATCTCTCACTCTGACTTCTCCACTGAGATCCAGACTCATTTATTGAACAGCTTAGGTGTTAGTTACATTGTGATGACATCTCCAAGCCCCCTTTGACCCCAAGGCTTAATTATGCACCAAGCTATGCTTGTCCTACAACCTCTCCATCCCCATAGCCTGGCCCCTCTCCTCAGGCCTCATCCTCTCTCACGCTGACCTTACCTGGCCTCCATCTCACCCCCTCCAGCCCCTACCCGGACAAGGGCCACAGGGTCCTTCTGCATCCAGAGCTGACAGTGCCCCTCCCCTGCTCCCAACCCTCCCATGGCTCCCCAGTGCCCTCAGAACAGAGTCCTAGCTCCTCACCGATCACTACTGACCTCTCCACACCCATCTCTTATCTGTTCCCCTTCCTCATGTCACAATGCAGACACTGAGCATAAAGACCTTTGGTATTCACCTAATATGTCTCTCCCTTGCCACTTTCATCCCTCCCCCAACTTAAATTGGATCCTCTTATTTTCCATCACAGCAGGGGACATTTCTATCCAGAGAACTTTCCACAGTGTGCAACTGTTTAATACAATCTTCTCCAACTAGACTGAAAAACCATGTCTGTGCTACTCCGTACTGTACTCCCGGCCCCTGGGACAGTGTCTGATACCCAGCAGGAACCTGATAAATATTTAATGAAAGGATGAAGAAATGAATGAATGAACCAATGCCTTATGCTCTCTCCCCCATACAAGCCTTTGACCAAGCTGTATCCTTGGCCTGGAATATTCTCCTCACGTATCTCCACTCCCACTCTACTCAACACCTTGCTATTTCCCACTCTTGGTTTAGAAAGAACCTTCATCCAGAAGCCCAATCAAGCCCTCAGTTTGAGGCTGGGGCCCCTTCCTCAACTCCCATACCCCCCGAATGCCCCTCATAGTAATGCTTCTATGCTTCTCCCTCTGGTTCTAATGGTCTGGGGTTCACCTGTGTCAGTGCGCTTGTTCTCAGTGTTCCGCAGAGGGAGGCGCGGTCTGACCTTGTCAATGAACAGACTGATAAACCAGAACCCAGTGGCCTCACCCGGTGGGGGCCAGCAGTGCTTAGGTACCTACCAGCCGGCAGGCCATCTGAAACACAGACCGCATGGGCATTACGTGTTTGGGGTTGTCATCCAGGGCCAACTGAAGGCTCCTCCCCAGCATGGGGAACACCAAAAATCTGGAAGACATGAGTATCTGGAAGGTAGGAGAGAGGACCAGAGGAGGAAGCAGAACAAAGGCCACTGATGGACTGTGGCTGGGTGGCTATGAGGTCCCGGTCCCAGGCAAGATTAAGGGTTCTGATTGGTGAGGGATCAGCCTGGCTCAAAGCAGGTGAAAGGAAGCAACTAACAGCCAGTGGCTCCAGGGTCCCAGCCAGGCCCAACCACATGACAGGGAGAGAAAGAAAGGGGCCAGCGAGGTGGGTGGTGAGTTAGGCGACTCACCTGTACCTATCCTGGTGAATGCCAAAACCGATACAGGTGGGGATGGCCAGTATGGGAGTTGAGGACAGCTTCTTCCACTTGTTCACTAGGGGGGGCAGGGACCTGAGAGGTTAGAGCCCACCTGGTCCCAGACCAGAAAAGTGCACCTGAGCGCAGGCCAGACCCTGAGTCTCTTGGTCAGAGATGCCACCTCTGTGCATGGGTGACAATGGGGGTGCTGACAGGGTGAGCCTGGTTGACCCCTGAATGTCACCTATGTCTGTAGGTGACAAGGGGTAAAAATGTGAGAAAGAATATATAAATCTGGAGTCAGTGGAAGGGATAAGAACAGCAGAACTTCTGAGTCACACATATAGCTAATAAAACAGCATTTAGACATTTACAAATGTCTAAACTGGTCATGGTGTCACTAGATGTCACCCCATCTTCCAGGATCTTTACTGGATGGTACAGATCCAGAGGTGTGCTGATAGAAGTTTAACAGCTGGCTGTCCAGGGGAAAAGAGCCCTGGTTTGTAGTGTTTGCCAATTTCTGTGGTGTAAATACTCCCACCATGGTCAATTTCAAGCTTCCGATAGGACATCACTGAATGTAGAGATGGGAGAAATGAGCAGCAGCACACAGTAATGTATTGTTTTCTCCATCCAGGTGCAATGGATGTAAAACAATCTCAAGGGTATAGAAACAGAAAGGTAGACAAATAATTATGAAATGAGTTTTGAGTATTTACTGCTCTTGTTCTTAATCCAATTTATTTTATTGTTAGTTGATGTAATTAATTTTAAAATGGCTATGTTTAACAACAGGCTTGAGCTAATTTTGCAAATTTAATACTCGGCTCTCAAGAGCTGGTATGAGCTGGCCTCAGCCCATGTTGTCCATCCTGTGAGCCTGAGGACTGAGGTGTGACAGGAGCAAATCTGGGCCACCTATTGAATCCCCACCCTTCCCACACCTTCAGGGAGAAGCTGGTTACTCTGACCAAGCTGGTACCTCCCAGTCTCTCCCCCTTGCCCACTTCCCTGCAGAATACCTTGCGAAGGCTTGGCAGCCCGCTGGAAGAAGTTCTGCTCATTGAACAAGCGCCCATCCTTGGAATCCTGGCATTGGATGGAGGAGGAGAAGGCTGTCACGCCAGAATCTCTTAGACAAGGGATCCCTGATCATTGCTGGCCATGCATTATCCCCAGAGTAATGCCAGCAACAACTCAGGTTCCCCATCAAGTCCCGCAGACCAGAATCAAATTCCCCAGGGTGCTACACTTGAACACATATCAGAGGTTTCAAGTTATCTCCAATTACCCAGGTTCTTTTTCTTTATTTTATGATAGGATCTACCAGTTTTCCCTAGACACGTGGCCTTCAGCTAAAAACTAGATTTCCAAGCTTCCCTTGAAGTGAGGAATGACCACATGACAAGTTCTGGCCAATGGGGATATGAGCAAAAGAGATGTGGGCTGGAGCAGCCATTTTAGCCCACGAGGCAAAGGTTATAGGATGAGGATGTTGGACCAACAAGAGAGAAGGAAACTGGACCTCTTGGTTATGGAACCATCATATCAGCCCTGGACCACTGTCCCAGACTTTTAAGTGAAAAAGCGGTAAAATAGTATTTTTGCTAAGACCATTGTTAATATTGGGTCATTATTTTTCTAGCAGTAAAGCCAAATGTTTAATTAAATATAACTAGTACAGCTGGGTTCTTAAGAGCATAGAGTCAAAGAGAAGTTCAAATCCCAGCTCTGTCATTCATTCGTTCTTTCTACAGCACCTACTATGTGCTGAGTATTGTTCTGGGCATTGGAGACACACAGTTGTGAACAAAGAAACTTGTATGCTGTATGTCCCCCACAGGTTTGCTTGTGAAACTCTCATCCCACAGTCAGGCATGGAATGGGCTCTCAACAAGCAGCTCCAGAGCCCTTGCTCTAAACCACTCACATGGCCTCCATGTAGGGCCAAGAGAGGGACCCAATTCAGTTGTCCTGGTTTTCTGGGGAGGGAGTGAGAAAATTTGTATAAATAAAAGTCACCCATAATTCCAACTCTCAGGGATAGTGGTGAGGTGACCAACCATGCCCATGCCCTTTTATTAGGCACTTCCTCTGTGTTGGAGGACATCACTCACCCACCTGGCTGCTCTCACTTTCTTGGTTTATTTTTTCTTTTTGCCCACCTTGAGTGCATGTTTCCTGTATTCTAAAGTTGGGCGTGATTTCACTGGCTCTTCAGCACAGGGACCCCATTTGATTGGTTCTCTGTTGAACCCCAACACCCAACACAGTTATATATTATAGTAGGTGCTTAATAAATACAAGCTGTGATGCAGGCAAGTAGTGGGCAGATGGACCACCTGATGTGGGTATTACTGGCGCTCCCCCTCACAGGTGAGGATAGTCAGCTCAGAGAGGGGAGGTGCTTGCCCTGGTCGCACAGCTGGGAAGTATCAGAGGCAGAGCTTGGGGGGTGGACCTGGCCACAGCTGCTGAGAGGCCCTGGGAGATGAAGAACCTGAGGTCCGGAGGGAGACGTGCCCTGCCCACAGCTCCTCACTCTCCAGCCTGCCCCAGGCCACAGAGAAGCTTGGAGACCAATGGTGCATCTGCCAGAACCCAGGGCCCTCCCTTTGGTGCTTCCCTCCCCCCACCCCAGGCACCCCCAGGGCCACTCACTAGTTTCAGCGAGAATCTTTGTTTCTGGGCACTTGACTCGCAGGTGGAAACAGGCTCAGCTGAAGACGGACAAAATGAGCAAGGTTATAATCTACAGGGAAAGTGAGTATCATCATCCTCAAAGTTTGTCCCAGTAAGGAGCTGCAGTTTTGGTTCCCTCGATCCACAGGATCCAGTGCATTCTTGGTTTTCAAGACCCGCTCCTCTGTATTTTCAAGCAGGTTCTTTTTTTCTCCCTCTCTCTCTCTGTTAATATCCAGCTATGCAAAAGGGCTATGAACACAGCAGGCTGACTGTTCTTGTAAAGGTCTGCTCTCAGGGCTGCCCTTAGCTGGTGTCTGGGAACCTGGGTTTTGGGAGGGTCCAGCATTCCCCAACCAGTCAGACGGATTCCCTGTGCCCAAACTCTGCTGAACACCTGCTTTCCTTCTGTGTATCTGGAATGTCGGTGTGTTACAGGCAGAGGGGGCCTACACAACCAGCCCCCAGTAAAAACCCTGGGTGCTGAGTCTCTAAGGAGCATCCCTGGATGACAACATACCACATGTGCTGTCACACCTCATTGTGCACCGTGTGACTCCCCGGGGAGAGGGCTCTGGAAGCTGCACTGCTTGGTCCCCAACACTTCCCCCTGTGCGCCTCCCGTTTGCTGACTCTGCTGTGATGGATCACGGCATAAGAGGCCTGCAGGTCCTCCTAGTGCATCGACAAACCTGAAGGTGGTGCTGGGGACCTTGACACACCGCCTGCCTTTGTCTACACATACGAGTCAGTGCTATGTGATGGATGCAGATCCCCCTCTGGGAAGGACTTGTTACCTTAGTCCAGCCCCACCCACTGTCATAGGCAGCTTTCAGCCCCTCAGGGATCCCTCAGCTGCAGATCCAGGGTGGCCCATAGGCTGATCAAGGGGGATATAAAGGCCCAGCCCTGATGGCCCAACAAGGGACTATGCTGAAGGACCACCTCTGCTCAGAGTCCCCATGGAGGTCGGCTCAGACTACACTGAGGCCTCTGCAATAACCCCCCCACTTCCTCTCCCCTCCCCACGTCCTGACCCCCAGGGCGCTTCCTCATGAACACCTTGCATGCTTGTCCCATTCTGCTTCATTACAAACCTGCAATGTTTCTGGCCCCTGTGCTAAGTGTGTGTTTTATACAAATCCTTTCCTTTAATGCCCAGGGCAGAAGGGAAGCACGTGTACTAATATACTATTATTGCTGTTGTTAGCGCCACCTTGTGGATGATATGAGAGCTGAAGCTTAGAGAGGCTAAGCCACAAGGGAGGCTTTGTGTCAGGCCAGCCTGGATTCAAGCCTAGCCCCGCCATCAACTCTGTGGGACTCTGCTAGAGTTGCTAAAGCTCTCTGGGCCTTCCTTGCCATGTCTGTGAAATAGGAGTAATGAAGCCCACCCCTGAGACTGGATGCAAGGATTTAGAGGAGCCAGTAGAAATAATAATAGTACCAGCTGAGCACAGATCATAGCTCGCGTCATCTTTTACATGTGCCACTCAATGAACCCGCTCAGCCCCAGAGCCCAGCAGCACACGGGCACGCCGGAGACGCTCAGTGTGTGGTTTTCTACAGCCGGTGAACTGACCCATGGCCGCTGTTCCAGCAGGCTCTCTGCATCCTCTCTGCTCTTCATTCCCACCCTTCCTTAGTCATCCTGGTTGTAAGATTTCTAGAGCCAGACCTCTGGCTAGTTATTCATGTCTGGGATTAATTTTCCTCACCTATGAACGGGATGAGGATGGTGCTGATGCCGTTAGACTGTTGTAGGAATCAGGTCAGTTAAGAAGTACACTTGGCTCTCTGTACTGGCGGATTCCACATCTGTGGAATCCACTGATTGCAAATATTGGGGGGCGAAGTTGCACTGTTGCTGACGTGTACTATGCAGTTAGGTCTACCATGGCTTTGTCTATACTGAGCATGTACAGACTTTTTTCCTTGTCATTATCCCCTGTTATCCACACAGTCCATCAGTTATTTACATGTATTTACACTGTATTAGGTATTATAATGTCGAGATATGCGTAGGTTATATGTGAATACTATGCTATTTTACATAAGAGACTGGAGCATCTTCTGATTTTGGGACAACTATATTAAGCAAACCTGTTTGTGTAAAAACCTGTACACAAATGCTCACACCAGCATTATTCATTGTAGCCAGAAGCGGAAACAAGTCAAATGTCCACCAACTGATAAATAGATAAGCCAGATGTGATACCTGCCCCCACGACTACTACTCAGCTATAAAACGGAGTGAAGTGCTGACACACACTACAACACAGATGGGCCTTGAAAGCATCACGCTAAGGGAAAGCCAGACACAAAAGGCCACACATTGTATCACTCCATTTATCTGGAATGTCCAGGGAAGGCAAATCCATAGAGATAAAAGTAGATTAGTGGTTGCCTGGGGATGGAAAGGGGGGGATGGGAGTGACTACTAAAAGGTATGGGGCTTCCTTTTGGGGTGATGGAAATGTTCTGGAATTAGGTGGTGATGGTGCATAACACTG